GATTTTTTTTTTTTTGATAAATGAACTATTAATATCCTTGAGATGAAATGTTTTATATATCATATCTTTGTATAGATTTTCAAGAAAATACATGCAAAATAGATTTTACAAATGTGTATCAGTATGGGGTCTGTAGTATTTATGAAAAATCAATAAAAAGTCTTACATGAAGAACAAGAAGAATTTTCCATGCAATATGTGTTTTTGAAAGTTCATTGATATTGAATGCTCTGTAATAGAAATTATATGACTGAATTGTAGGTGAAATAAACTGCATATTTTCAAATAAGACACTGTGTGATAACAAAACATTTATTTTTCCTTAAAATTAAATGATTGATCACTCTAATATAAGTAATTGGACATAGAAAGCTGATTTCATTGTTATTTAAGAATGCTGAAGAATCAATTACAATGGAATGAATACTGAAATACTGAATGGTCATACAAAACATGAAAAGGTAGTTCAAATATGATGGAATGGCCACTTATATATGAATGAATAGTCACTGTCTTACTGAAACAGGACAAAATTGTTACTTTTATTGTTACTATTATATGGCGGAATGGTCACTGAAATATGACGAAATGGTCATTAAAATATGAAAGAATGGTCACTGAATGGTGACTGAAAAGTCATATCAGGGAATGGTAACTGAAATATGATGGAATGGTAACTGAAATATGATGGAATGGTCATGGAATGATAACTGAAAGGTCACTGAAATATGACGGAATAGTAACTAAATAGCGAATGAAAGGTCACTGAAATATGACGGAATGGTCACTGAAACATGACGGAAAGGTCACTAAAATATGACAGAAAGGTCACTGAAATGTGACAGAATGGTCACTGAAATATGAAGGAATGGTCACTGAATGATAACTGAAAGGTAACTGAAATATGATGGAAAGATCACTGAAATATGAATGAAAGGTAACTGAATGACAACTGAATAGTCACTGAAATATGATAGAATGGTAACTGAATGACAACTGAAAGGTCACTGAAATACGATAAAATGGTAACTGAATGATAAGTGAAAGGTCACTGAAATATGACAGAATGGTCACTGAATGACAACTGAAAGGTCACTGAAATATGACAGAATGGTAATTGAAATATGAATGAAAGGTCACTGAAATATGATGGAAAGGTCATTGAATGACAGGTGAAAGGTCATTGAAATGTATGTGCCATTCAGTTGACTTAATGGCAAATGAAATGCAACTGAATGTCAACTGAAAACTACCTTGTCAGTTACCATTCTGTTGTCATTCAGCTACCATTCAGTTATCATTCAGTCAACTGAATGGCCAGATTTCATCCTGTGAATCTGCATAAAGACAAAAATACCATAGATCATACCATAGGAAATCTGTATAAAGATAACTATACTCAAATGAGTTAAGGCTAAGTAGAATTGCCTTTCTATGCAAATGAACTAATGAAAATGCATAATTTGTGTAGTTAATAAACAGAGAAGGTTTAAGTTTATTTTCAAATACATACTTAGTACCCAAAGCATGATACAGCAACTGCACAATGCCATATATACATGTATACCATATACCATTGAATAACAATTCCATGTAAAAATGATATTATTTCAAGACATTTTTCTAATGCTGAGTTTGAAATCCTAATCAATCCTTTAAGAGCTCATATGGTTTCCATCAGAATTAACCTTTTGACCAAATTGTTAAAGGCTCATTTGATTTATATTTCAACCCTGTAACCTCTACTCACCGATCTGTGTTATATTTACCTTTTTTCAGTTTGACTATTTGATGCTGAGACCTTCTATCACCTGATTAAGTTTACAGTTCCTGTTTAGATTAATATTTTGACCCTGTGACTCGTGACCTCTCAACTGATTCAGCCTGCAGTCAATATTAAGATTTATCTTTGGCCCTGTGTCCTCTCACCTGTTTAGCCTGCTGTCTCTGACCTTTTGACCCCCTGACCTCTCACCTATTAAGCCTGCTGTCTCTCCTCTGGAGTTACGTCCTCCACGCTCATCGACTTCCACTGAGCAATGATCAGTTTGAAAACGTCCCCGTCACCATTCAGAATCTGTAGCAGCTTCGCATCTTGGGATTGATGTGCAATCATGCGTAACTCCAACTGAGAGTAGTCAGCTGCCAACACAACTCCTCTACATTTGTCAAACATATATACATTTTTAATTCATCTATAGAGCTTTACTATCCAGATGTTTACTAAATATAAATTGTATTTTCATTCAACTAATTACTTATAAGTTTATAAAACTTAAAAAATTACTTCATTTTAAATAGAAACTAAGATGAAATAATCAACATTACTTTTTTTAATCATTCTATCTCCTGTACTCAAAATTGCATAGATTTCAGAACTTTTTTCAGCAATGACAGTATGAGGTTATTAACTGAAATTTGTCAAGTCGGTATCATAAAAAAACATAAATGGTATCCTGTAAAAATTAATTGCATTAATACATGTGCATTAAAGGTAATAATAGAAAAATAAAAATGATAAAAATAAAAAAAAAACAAATCTTTATCTATCTTGTTTTTAGATTTCAGTAAAATCATAATTCATTGCGTACAGTACTTTAATATAAAAAGAATATGAACTTTTTTTAAATCCATATATCGGAGAATGTACACATCATTCAAAATTGATTTTAACAAAACAAAAAACTTCATTTGCAGACAGAGGTGGTACAGTAATTGTGACATGTATGCAGCAATGTGACATGTATAAAGATTAAGCTTATGCTTTTCCTCAAATGGAAAGTTATTTAATCCCAAGGGACTTACTGCAAAGCTTTAATAGTTTATAAAAGAAACATTCTCAGCAGTTATCGTTCAATTTCACATTTAATTCTTTATTGCACTGCCCCATATCATTTTTTTCTAATACTTCATTGACCATGGAAACAGTTAACGAGTCACTCATTTCTTCAGCCGTATCACTTGTCACTTTTCCTCCTGTTTTTTGTTTGGGTGTCTTCATTTTACAATTTTTAAAATAATTATTTGTTTCACTTTCTTTTGACAGAATGCCTTATCCTGAGGCCATTTTAGTTTGTGTCCTATCACTGTTTTTATCAACCTTATCACTGAATACACACCTTTAAAATCCTGTTTGAATTTTTAAATGCTCAAACTGTCACACGTAATACATTTTGTATCGCTACCATAACTTTGTTTGTTTAACATTTGCTTTTAAATTAGTCTTCGGGACATTTAAGTTTTCTTCCTTTTTCCTTAGTTTGTGCATATACATTTCAGAAAATGATATCATTTTAAAGATGGGAGAAAGATAAATCTTCTTTGAAACAGATATTTTCCTATGAGTTGAACTGAACATTTAATTAAAGAATAAACAACTGCTCATTCTCAAATTAATTGACCTCTTGTGTATGACCAGACTCCTTAATTGGTTCTCTGTTTTAGTTGGTATCCTCCCCTGGATGGCCCTGTTGAGGAATCCCTCACGACCCCCACCAGCTGAGCTACTCTCTTTTTGTCGGAGGAATGTTTGTCCCACAGGCAATATAACTTGTACCAGTCCATGTTAGCCCCCAAGTCTAGGGAGTAGATGGGGTCACCTACAATAAAGCAACAGTGAGAAATATAGGTTAAAGAGGCACTGGAAGACCTTACATATTAATACTACTAACATAAAGTTATGTAAATCTTTGCTATTTGAGAAAACACTTGGGCCTTAACGTTTGCTCCCTGGGTAAATCTTTCATTTGATATTAGGGACATGTGTACATTAATCTCACTCACTTTATAGACAATATGCAGTTCATTCTTTAGAACAAAAACACTGTTGAGCTTTCTGTAGTTCAGCAAACACAGTCAGACCTTCATATGGAGACAGACAGGAAGCTAGTACAGCTGCACCGAGCTGTGTGGGAACAACTCGTTCCTCTGTTGTCACACCATCTAAGATAAATCATTGGCATTAGTGATTTACAGCTATAAATAAAAATATAGTAATTCTTCTTTTTTTGGTTTGATAGATCTACACCTCACAATTTTCACCTCAATTTAACATGTTTAACTTAAACATGTTAAAGGAGAATTAACTATTTATTTATTTCCCACTCTCTTACTTTCCCCTGTTTTAAGTGATCAAGCTAGAGTTGATGCTACATGTAGGTTACATAGCAAATCTCTAGTATGGCCCTTTCATGCTAGAACTGAGTTGTTCCCCTTGGTTTTTGATCAGACAACTCCTAACAGGTGGAAGTTCAGACTGTACTAAGGTCACAGTTATACTTCTCTCACTCGGCTTACAGTTCAGGATAATCTCACCCACATATATGAATAATTAATCACTTAATATCAGATTTTTTCCCTAAATACAAACACAATACTGGGAATATATGATGATATATGATGAAAATCAAACTAAATCAAGTAATTTCAAATATAACATTTGAAATTAACCCTTTTCTAAATAGTTTGTAGGTAGACTAGGACACTATAACAATAGATTATAATTATTACTAAGCATTCTTAGAAGGTCTCTTAGTCAACCTAAAGAATATTTATAACGTAGATAACTTGCTGGTGCAGGTATTTACATCATGTGACCTGAAAGTAAATCAAACTCTAGAACAAGACCACTGGCAGGAAGTCAATAGTAAGTATCTTTACTAGCTAGGACAGCCATCTTGTGATATAACAGGTGAGACATTATGATTTTTAACATGCTTCTCAGACTCGGTGTGTTTTTTCAATTTTTATTTCTTTAAAGTTAAGAGATTAATAATATTACTAGAATATACATTCTAAAAAAAATAATATAATTTATGTCTTCAAGTGCTAATTTTGTGAAGCATTTAGTAGTTGTCTGTATGATCATATGTCCCTTTGTATAATCATGGCTGTCTTCCTTTCAGTAATTACTAATCCATCCCCAGTCAAATTTGAACTGGTTTAAAAATCTCTGCCCTTCATACTCTCCTTATTAAATATAATAGTAAATACACGATATTACAGCATCCCCTTCATCATGTGACTGAAGTACCTAATATGGACCCGCGTTATTGTGCCCAAGAAATCCTCCTCTGTGACCTGTGTCAAACTGCTGCATTACAGAGTCATTGTGAACTTTGTCATGTTAATCTCTGTATACAATGTGTTGGAAAACATCTCTCTGATTCATCTAAAAGACACAATGTTGTTCCATACAAGCACAGAACTACTACTCCTAACTACCCAAAATGTCCAAACCACACCCAGAAACATTGTGAACTTTACTGTGAAAAATGTGACATTCCTCTCTGTTCTACCTGCATCGCCTCTGATAAACATCATGGACATAAGTTCACAGATGCACTGCAGAGACTAAGTTCCAAATCAAAAGATTTAGAAAATGACTTAAAAGAACTAGAGGCAAGAATCTATCCTAAATATGAAGAAGTTGTATTAGATTTAAACTCTGAAAAACACAACTCGGAAAAACATTATGAGAAACTGACAACAGCTGTCACCAAACAAGGAGAAGACATGCACAGAGAAATAAACATTATTGTCAACAAACAAAAATATGAAATTGATGAAATGAGATCTAAACACCTGGCTGCTCTGAATAAACAGGAAGAAGAAATCAAACAAATTACTTCTGATGTAAAACAGTGCATTGTTGATCTGAAGAAAATACTTGACTCTAATGATGTCTCTCTAACCTCTGGTTACAAATCAAGGAATGCTGAATTCAGAAGTTTACCTCCTCAGGTCAATGTTTCATTACCAAGTTTCTCACCTCATCAGATCAACACAGAACAGCTCCATCAAATGGTTGGTTTTCTGTCATCGTTATCCATTACAACAGAAGAATATGACGACTCAATAAAGACACCCGATGCTTTATCTTATCCTCCAAACAAACCACTGCTTGATGAACCAGAGTTCATCACCATAGCGAATACTGGGTATGAATATCTATTCAGTATTACCCGTTTCAGTGATGAAGAAATCTGGACACGTGGAGGAGACAAATTCATGAAACTCTACAACCTCCAGGGCAAACTACTGAAGTCAATCCAAACCAAGTCAAAAAACATACCACGTGACATAGCAGTGACATGGAATGGACATCTATTGTATACTGATGATGATACACGAACTGTAAACAAAGTGAAGAATAAAAAGATACAGGAAGTGATCAGACTACAGGGGTGGATACCTTACAATGTCTGTAGTACCTCCTCTTGTGACCTCCTGGTTACTATGGTCAGTGACGATGATGAACAATCAAAAGTTGTCCGTTTCTCTGGCTCCGCAGAGAAGCAAACCATTCAGTTTGATAGTGAAGGTAAACCTCTGTATTCATCTGGAACCTACAGTAAATACATCAATGAGAACAGGAACCTGGATATCTGTGTAGCTGACTTTGGAGCCCGCGCAGTAGTGGTGGTTAATAAGGCAGGAAAACTCCGATTTAGATACTCTGGTCATCCCACTTCGAACAAGGGACCATTTAATCCACGTGGCATCACAACAGACAGCCAGAGTCACATCCTGACAGCAGACAACAACTTTATCCATATCCTAGATCAGGACGGACAGTTCCTCCGTTACATTGATAACTGTGATCTACGTGGTCTGTGGGGTATATGTGTAGACACCAGAGACAACCTCTTTGTGGCTGAGTGTTGCAGTGGTAAAGTGAAGAAAATCAAATACAAGTAAAGGATCCAACATATGTGACCATGCAGTGAATTTATATACAATGTTTGTTTTCACCATCACTAAGTGAAGTGATCATGACTTAGACATTTTGTAAAACATGGTATACAACTACCGGGTATTTTCATTGGGAATACATTGTGTAAAATAATTAGCTGTGTTGAATCACAGTGACTATAATCATGTTTATAATTAATCTAACCCCAGTATGATAGGGTCTAAATATTTGTAAATCTGTCAGAGTATTCAAATTTCACAATGTCTTACTGTATAATTATCTTGTAGATACCTCTTTTGTAACTTGTATGTTTGCATATCATTATAAAGAAGAAATAAAATGTGAATATGATCATGGTTCTATAAGTGAGATAAAAAAATTGGAATAAGAAAATCCTTTATGTTTTAATGAGAAGATTTTCAAAGCATCAAACTCAGTTGTTTTCATATAATGATATACATAGTTCTCCATCAACTCCCTGCAAAAAAAAATATCTCCATTAAATAAGTATTTTATGGGGTACGTTTTGTAAAAATTCGACAATTTGTTAAGGAAAGGTCAAAACTTTGAAATGAATATGTACTAAAACAATAAAACAATAGGCCCATGCACCACATGTAGCACTTGTGCACTTTAGCTGGGCAAAATCAGGAATCTTTTCAGTATTGAAAAAGTTTAAAAATAAAAAATTTGACCCAGTTTACCCCTCCCCCCCGTAGGGGTCATGATTTGAACAAAGTGGAATCTACATCCCAGAATGATTCCAAATAATTTTTTTTTATTTTCTAGCAAAGTGGTTTATTAAAAGAAAATGAACTTTGGTTATCAAAGGAGGATATGAGATTTAGGAAAAATTATTGGTGACAATTTTTTCTAGATACTCAAGATAGTCCTTAATGCATTATTGAATGTGTGTGAGGATCAGAATTCTTTTTGTTTGACAGATAAATAAAAGTTTATCGATAAAGTCATTATAGTGGTCAATATTTGTACAGTTTTAACCATATATCATGTAAGGCTTCACACAACTCCCTTTGCCCCGGTGAGATGTATTGAACAAATTTTAATCATCACCTTCTCATCTTGTTAAGTTTGGTAATAATCTGCCCAATGGTTCTCAAAAGAATATGTTATTAAATAACCTCTTGTTTTGTTTTTATCTCCCTTGTTTAAATGCCATATCTTTATTTTATTTAAAATGAAATTAAGTCTTATGGCTAAGAATATTGTAAACCAACTTTTATTCGCCTGAGAGAAACTTTCGCAAGGTTCGTGAGAGCCTCGTCATTTCAAACATTAATCGCCACAAACCGGTTCTGAAAGTCTCTGTTGCTATTAACAACAAAAAGGCCTGATCACCAAAATTTGTCATCGAGTATTATAATCTGGTAAATAGCGAAATAAAGTCGTCGCAATAAAATTTTATTTTACAGTTTTCTGTGACAAAGAAAAAATTAGCCCAATCAGGGTGTTTTGCGATGAAGCTCATTTCAAAATAAAACAAGAGACCCAAAAGCGTTGAATCGCTCTTCAGAGAAATTGTTCAATCTGTCAGACTTGATGTATCAGACTATACATAGTCATTTAAGTATCCTATGTATCTATATAAATCCTAGTAGGTCATCATGACTTCCATTTTGGTTACTACATTTTCAGAGCCTAGGATAATCAACTGAAATTTTCTGAGGACCCGAGATGCATAAAGCGTAGGGATGTCAAAATATTATTTTTCCTTAGTCGAACATTCGGATGCATTATTTGAACCATAATCGATTTTTTGGAGCATTTATTCATTTTTTTTTATAGCACGGTGTTCTTGAAACCTTATTAATTAAAATCAATTTGAAAATTGAAATAAATTAGAAATGGGGATTTATAAACATACACTATCCACATCACCTATGAAAATGTTTATTCATAAATGATTGCCCAAGCTATCAAAATGTCTTAATGTAATATTATTGTTTTAACAATTATGGAGGTTTAATACTTCACGGAAATGAAAATATTGTGTGTTCCTAAGCATTTGAAATTCCTAGAGTTTATAAATAAAATTGGTACAAGTCAATTAATTATTTTGATTTTTATAGTCCAGTAAAGTGTTGCATAATTTACTACGTACAATAACAAAAAAGTCAGCGATTGAGAAATAATCATCGAGGTATGTAATTACTGTATTTTCCATATGTACATTGTGGATATATATACTGTGACTCTATTGAGCTCTTATTCGTCTGAGGACGTACACTGTAAATAAATTGACATAGATTGATGATATATTTTTAGCCATTCAGGACCTGAAATTTCTAAATGTAGTCATAAAATTTTTAAAATAGATCACTCTGTCATTTTTGTTTGACATTCTCCATGGACCTAAGATACAGTAATTGACGAAAATTGTAAATTAAAGACAATCAGTACATGAACTAATTCGATATAGCCGTAAAAAATTCAAAAGAAGGTCGCCATGAAAGGTCACCATGACCTACTCATTAGTTGACATTATCCGGGACCTACATGTACTTTTAAGTAGAATCTGATGTTGTTTGACGACCCAAGATACATCAACTGTATGACAAATTAAAGTTTGGTGATAACATCTTGAGAAGATTTTTAAATGATGCCATTAATTTTTATGAATTCGAATTTATCTTCCCCCGGAAGAAGAAAATATCATAAATAGTTTCCTTAAATATTAGCTGAACATTTAAGAAATGTCAAACAAAAGGTCAGACCGGTCAAAATTGTTGATGCAGTTGATTATACCTGTTAACAATATCGATCAGCATAGGAAGTTTGATACATGTATAAAGATATCTTAAATATCTTGAAAATGAGCTGTGAACTGATCTAACACAAACCAGAGACATAAAATAGAGGGACCGCTGACTCTCTCGGAGCACTCCAGATTTTTCATGACGTTTCAAAAATTCGAGTTCCGAATGGAAAATCATCTTCCGATTTTCGCAGCGCCCTCGCCGGGAGGCATAGAAACTATAAACAGTATGGCGTTTCATCATAAGAATGGGTAGAAAACATCGCTAAAACTTCAATTTTAAGCAAAATTTACTTGTGGCATTAATCGTAGGAGGATTAGATACTTTCGTTTGTATGACGAAAAAGAACTAAGAACAAATAAATAGATGAAATCCATCTAACCCCGTTTCGAGTTGCATTCGTTCAGTCT